TGCTCATTACCTTGTTAACATCCCTGGGCCCAATCGGCCTGTGTCGCTTTGAGTCGGCGGATGCAACCAGTTGTCTTGACTTCCAGTTGAGGAGTGAGCAGCAACCACCTCCCGGGTAAGTCCCTCTTTTTTCCTCTGGGTGAGAAGGAAAGGCCATTTTCTGGGTGAGACCTGGAGTTTCCCCGGCATCCCTTCCTCCCTCCGGTCAGGGGTTTTTCTCACGTTTTGACATTCGGCCTCAGAATGTCAAAACCCCTTGTCTCTCTGATTGGGCCAGGTTCTGGCTCTGGTCCCCGGTAGGCCCAAAAAACTCCTTACACATGACTGATGCCAAAGTCTGACATTAACATATCAGCCTGGATAGCTCCGGGGAGCCTCCGGGTCTCGTCCAGAAAATGACGTTTCATTACATTCAACGCTTTTTTTTTATTCCTTTTTTTCAACACAATTTATACTTTACTCCCAATTACCATTAAGTTTGTCTTTTTTTTACCCCCACACCTTGCCCAAAATGCTATGCGTATTAGTGGGTTTAGGTATTGTATGTACAGTACTAGCTCTATATATAAATCCAACTTTGTTTGTAACTCTGCATGTATGTATGTACTTTTCCTGAATAAAATATTATTATTATTATTTTTTTAGTTAATATATTTGGGGTGTGGAATAGATTAATTCAATTTACATTATTTCTTATGGGAAAATTCTTTTCGGTTTTCATATCGTCTCTGGAGTTGGATTAACCACAAAAACTGAGGTACCCCTGTACTGTCGCTTCTTATTGTGTGGCATTGGCAGAGCTGCTTCAGCTTGCGTTCGGGGTGGATGTCACTTCTGCTACGTTCTGCAAGCACTCTCATTACTTTTTTTGCCTACGGGTTGCTCATGCGCCACCGGAGCCTTCTTGTTCTTTGACCTGGGTACTCTCATTTCTCTCCTCAGTTTGAAATGGCCCCTTCGGTTCGTAATTATTTAACGAATGCTTTGTTTTTGTTGGCTTTAGCCTCTGGTGGTCGTGTTGGAGAGCTTCATGCTCTTCACCGGTGCAGAGGGTTCTGCTCCTTTGGTCCTGAGGGTCGTTTTGTTCGTTTGCAGCCCTCTCCTTATTTTCCGGCAGAGAATGAGACGGAGGGCATCCGGAAAGGTCCATGGGTTGTTGATGCTTTGTTGGTCAGGCTGAGGGTGCATCATGTTTTGTGTCCGGTTGTGGCTTTACATCACTGCCTGCAGGCCATTAGTTCAGTGACGGTGGATGCGCTCTGGGTTGATCCAGTTTCCCCGATTCCCTGTTCCAGGGCTTGTGTCTCTCAGATTGTCTGTAGGGTTATCAAGTCTAGCCAGCCTGTGGTCTACCCTCGTGCCCATGATGTGAGGGAATATGTTGCTCTTTCTGCTGTTTTTTTTGGAATATGTCTTGTTTTGATATTCGGGCACGGGGGTTTTGGAAATTAAACAGGGTCCTGTCCACCCGTTATCTTGTCAATGTTCCAGGCCCTTTGCGGCCTTGTGTTACTTTGGGTTATCTGTCATGGCCTGTGGTTGCTTCTTCGTCTTGAGACATGAGGTGCTGCCCCCTGCCGGGTAAGTCGCTGTTTTTACTTATGTGGGTAGATAGCTTCAGGAAGCTGATGGGGCTCCCTACAGAAAACCAGTGTTGAATGTAATGTAACTACATTTTCTGGACGAGCCCTGGAGGCTCCCTGTCACCCTCCCTCCCTCTGGTTGACGTTTTTCATCTTTCTAGGAACTGAGAGGTGGAGCGGCAGGCTCGCTTGAGTGGCCTCTTCCCCCCCCCCCCTCCCCAACAAGGGGGGAGGAAGGAAGGCACTTTTGGGGGGAGTTTTCCTTTGAGGGGGAGTTCTTTGGCTCTGTTCGGATGTAGGTTATACTTTTCACCAGTTGTTGTTGCTAAGAAGTAAGATCACAAAATACATGAAGTCCCAGCATCTCCATAACCCTGGACAACATGGTTTCTGAACAGGTCGCTCTTGCCTATCACATTTGCTGGACCACTATGACATAGCCTTAGTTGCCATGGAAGACAAACAAAATGCTGATGTAATTTACAGAATTTGCAAAAGCCTTCGACAAATGTGACCATGGTGTTATTGCACACAAAATGTGTCCAAAAGGAATTACTGTACCGGAAAAATTGGCACATGCGTCTACAATATCCGGACTAACAGAACCCAATACTGTATGTAACAGTCAACAAAATAAAATCCGGTCCATCAACCGTGAAGAGCTCAGTCCCTCTGGGTACTGTGTACTCCAGTACTTTTTCTCATCCTCATATTGGACATAGACAAGGACACAATCTATAATACTGTATCATCCTTTGCAGATGACACTAGAATTTTTATGAGAATAGACAACATGGAGGACATGGCAAACCTCCACTTGGTTGCAAATCGGGTCTTTGTATCAGCTATAGAAAATAATATGGTGTTTAACAAAGATAAGTCCCAGCTCATGTGCTACAGAAAAAATTAAAATATAAAAACGGAAACCACATACAAAACACCGTCAAATCACAACATAGAATGAAAAGGCAATGTAAAGGATTTGGGTGTACTCATGTCGGAAGACCTTACCTTTTAAAGAACGCAATAAAGTAGCCATCACAACTGCAAGAAAAATGACAGGTTGGATAACAAGAACTTTTCATACTAGAAATGCTATACCGATGATGATACTTTTCAAGACGCTAGTGCTCTCAAGAGTGGAATACTGTTGCACAATGACTGCCCCCTATCAAAGCTGGAGAAATTGCTGATCTGGAGAGTGTGCAGAGATCCTTTACTGCTAGAATCCACTCAGTAACACATTTAAACTATTGGGGCTGACTAAAATGCCTAAATCTGTATTTTTTTGAGTGCAGGTGGGAGAGATACATAATAATTTACACATGGAAAATAGTAGAGGGGACAGAGGAGTTTCGTCACAGCAAAAGTATGAAGTTTCCTGGCATTCTTTTCATCATTTTCTCTCTCTTCGTAGGTTGTCTTCTACAGTATTTCCGATCGGGTTGTTTTGTCCTTTCATGGCTTTTTCAGGACCGTCATTTGATGCCCAATACTGTCGCCTCTTATCATGCGGCACGGGTAAAGCCGCTTCAGCTTGCGTTCGGGTTGGATGTTACTTCTACCACGTTTCGCATGCTTTCTCGTGCTTTGTTTCACCTCCGGCCTGTTCATGCACAACCTGAGCCATCCTGGTCCTTGGACCTTGTGCTCTGTTTTCTCTTTTACCTCGGTTTGTGGTGGCACCTTTGGTTCTAGATTATTTTTCCAAGGCTCTGTTTCTGTTGGCATTGGCCTCTGGGGGGCAGGTCGGTGAGCTTCATGGTCTCCTACGGCGCAGAGGTTTCTGTTCTTTTGGTCCTGGTAGTCGGTTTGTTCGTTTGCAGCCTTCTCCTTCTTTTCTAGCGAAGAAGAGACGGCGGCTTTCCAGAGGGGCCCTTGGGTCATTGATGCTTGGTTGGTCAGGCCGGAGGTGCATCATGTGTTGTGTCCAGTTGCGGCTATTTGCCGTAATCTCTGCCCCTTGGCTTCTGTGGCTGGGGACACACTTTGGATTGATCCGGTTTCTCCTCATTCCCTGTTCCAGGGCTCGGGTCTCACAGGTAGTCCGCAGGGTTATTAAATCTAGCCAGCCTGTAGTCTACTCTCGTGCTCATGACGTTCGTAAGTTTGCTGCTTTGATTGCCAGGTCGAACAAGGTCTTAGCCGCCCATTATCTGGTCAGTATTCCTGGTCCTGGTCTTTGTGTGTGGCTATGGGTCACAGGTTGCAATCCGTTGTCTCGGCTTTTGAGTTGATGTGCGCTTGGCGGCCGCCTGCTGGTTACAGTATGTCCCTCTTTTACTTGTTTTTGGTTAGATAGCTCCAGGGAGCTTGAGGGACTTCCCACAGAAAACCAGTATTGAATGAAATGAAATGACATTTTCTAGGTGAGCCCCAGAGGCTCCCTGGCACCCTCTCCTCCCTCTGGTCGGCGGTTTACTTTTTGTTTTTGATGCTCGGCCTCCGAATTGGAGGTATGAGTAGCCGACGCAGGAGGAGAGGGTGCGCGGACAAGCAGCGTGGTGGCAGTGAATGATGTTTGCGTGTTTACTTGTTTCCTTATGTTTTTTGGAGAGTTCTGTCTCTGTTCAGTCTTCGGTTGCAATTTATTACCATGTGGGGTTTGTGTTGTTATTGTCAATGGCAGACATGAAATGCTCCGAAACACATTGGGGTTTCCATAGGCCATTGCTGATGCCCCAGTCTAATATAGCATATATCAGTCCGAGAGCTCCAGGGAGCCCCTGGGGCTCGCCCAGAAAATGGCGTTTCATTACATTCAGTACTGGGTTTTTTCTACTAGTTAAGAAGACTCTTAATTAGTTTTAGCCTTTCTCTATAGCTGATGTCTTCAACTTAGAGGACCCATTTGGTGTGTTATTTGGATCTTTGTGGACCTGTTTATTATTAATCTGTAAGCTCAGGTGGAACTTATTTCTACAGTACTGGGCTGTACCTCAAAGGGTCATTTAGACCCAGTTGTTGTATATCACCTTAAGGCATCTCAAGTTATCAGCTAGTATTGATAAGAAAAGGAGTTTGAAGACTATATTGTGGGATCTGAACTATGCTAATATTAAAGACGTGTTAATGCAATGTATCACTTGCTCAGTTCTGTTTTTCAGCATGGCATATCTGTGCTTGATACTAATTTTATGGGTTTTATTATCAATTAAATGTACATGAAGTGTACACATGCAAACACTCGGGAACAAGATTGTACAAACATGCTCATAAACCCTTGCTGAAACTTGAACCTGCATATTTATATGTTTAAAGATGCTCTTCACTGTTCCAGAGGTTCATGATGAAACCTGTATATCTGTATGTCTACAGGTGTGCTCTTCATTGTTTCAGAGATGATGAAATCATCTCATTTCATCTTATGATGAAATCTATTTATATGCCTACATATGATGCTCTTGACTGTTTCAGATCCTCATGATGGGTAACCCATCACACGAGTCTTGGCAGGAAGTGGAACGCTTGTGCACAGAGGAGCCAGAGGAGCTTCTTCAATACCTAATTCAGAAAAAGCAGTTCAAATTAGGTGTTGAATGGGCAGACTATCACGATGGTAGTGCTGAGCTGCGCCGCCTGGTTGATCAGAGCTACCTCATGGATTTGTTGGATAAAACCACCCCTGACGACAATACTGCTCTCGATGCTCTGAATGCTCTCAATATTAATGATCTAATAATAGTAGTGCAGAACCTCTTGCAGAGGCTGTCAAATATCCCAACCCGAAGATTCTTGATTGAGGTATTTCTAAAGAGAATTTACTCCTCAGATGTGATTTCTTTGTCTAATGAAAATAGTGGCATTGCAAAAAACAGTAAAGACTCTATACATAGAAATGAACAAAAATATCCTAATATTGAAGAGGGAAATTTTAAAGATGTTTCTTCTCATGGAATTGTTTCTTATGTTGCAAGCCTACAACATGAAGTAATGGGACTTATTTTGGTTGAGGATGTTGCACCACCCGCAGCAGACAGGTTCCAGCTGAGCCATTTAGCGTTAGCCCCACATCTCATAATAGAGCAGTGGCTGATGAATGTCAAATTAGAAGCTGTAGAGAAGTCCATTAAGGTGCTGACTCCGCATCTAAACATGGTGGGTTCACTGATGCCCAATGCTGATTATTCACAAGATTTTGGAATTTCATTTTCAATGGATAGCATAGCTGTTCAACCAAGAGATATAAAGGGCTTGAGTTGGGATGTTTTTAACTGGCTCTTGGAAGTTTATGCAGCCAAAGCTCTTGATACCACTGGTGTACAGTTGGCTCTTAAGCCTCATTTAATTAGTGAAAAGTCAAAGAGAAAATTTGTAATGCCAGCCCAGCCTCCCGAAAGGCATGAATGGGTGCCAGATGCTGAGGTAAGGCAATGCCCTGTATGCGAGGTAGCTATTTTCTCAATGTTTTGCCGCCGGCACCACTGTCGGCGTTGTGGACGTGTTGTTTGCAGTTCATGTTCTCGGCACAAAAATGTTGTTCAAGGCTATGATAATTTACTGGTTAGAGTTTGCTCTGAGTGTTATCAACAGACAAAAGAAATTAATTTGCATGATTATATTCAAGTTAGGCCACTAGGAGATGGCACTTTTGATACTTTATCACAAAGTTCAGATGAACAAGTTGCTCGTGGAGAATGTTCTTGGGCCAGTGACCCTGAAGGAGGCTGGTATTTGTCAACAGACACTCATAACAATAGTTTAATACGCCTGGAATTCTGCTATGATTATGCGCCATCGCTGAGCCTGTGCCTTGCTATATTGGCTCTCCACCAAGATCACAAAAGGGCAGCAATCTGTATTGTCAGATTATGTCATCACTTATTTTCCCTCGTTATATCATCATTAAGAATATCAAGTTCAGAAACTGATCATACTTTTTTGCTATCTATGATACAGACGCTCTTGACCTCATCCAAAATACGGTTTGGAAATGTCGGTGAACATCAAGGCATTGGACTTTGTGAATATTACACTCAGTGGGTGGATTTGCTCTCCATTTTATTAAAGGCAAACTGTGATGACATTATTCCCCTTGACGCTTTGGAAAATATGCTTATAATTGGAAATTTGCACCAACAGAGTTTAGTAGAAGAGAAAGCTGTTCAGGCTGACTTGGACAAACATTTGAAGCAAGAATTCTCCTACATGAGAAAACTGCGCAACACACTTGTCAAGAAGCAGATGTGGGAATTAGCCCTTGATGTCTCGACCAAAGCAGGACTGGAAACTAATGGAGTGTGGGGAGCATGGGCCCTGGCCTCTCTCAAGGCTGGCGATTACCCTGGAGCTCGAGAACGATTTTCTCGAGTTCTTGAAAGGCCCACTGACAAAAATAGGGCCTGCAACTCATCGTTATTACCCGAGATCATCAAGTATCTTGAAAGTAACCCTTTCCAAGTAGATGAACAAGTAATTAACCAAGCAGACCGTAGCCGATCAGTCATCATGCTCAGTGATCAATCTAAGCTTCCTCCATCACAAGCCCTTGTGGTACTTCATAGTCTCAAGAATCTTAGCAAAATTGCACAAGGTAATTTGACTTGTAAAGATACTCCTCGACAAGTATTTTATGGCCCTAGAAATAAAAAGGCAGATACATCAAGAATTCAATCTACATTTCAAACCGAGTGTAAATATTATCTTAGTTTGTATGGGAATCATTCCATGACCATTCAGTATTTTATGAGAAATAGGCAAATGAAAGAGTGTGTAGAGTACTTGCTTGTCGAAGATATACCTTTGGAGGTCTTCATTGATAATGTTTTAGTTCCTTGCCTGAGATGCGGTCATCTTGACCATCTTATGAGATGTCTTTATGCATCGGATCCTCATATGGAAAAATGGGCGAAGTTGATGTTTGGAGGTTGTCGGTGGCTGGAGCGACGGGGTTGGTGGAACTGTCTCTTGACTTTGCAAGAAGCTTTGGGTGACAGACTAAGAGCAGCCATGACCCTTCTGAGAATGTATAGTGATGATGTTAATAGTTATACAGCACTTGCAAGCAGATCTAGCTGTGTAACAGTGGCATTAGGACACCTTCAATCTTACTTGGATAGCCAGACTTTGTATAATTCCAGCACAAAGAGAAAAAAATTAATTCTAGACATGTCTCCCTGGCATGTCAATCAGAACATCAATATGCTAACTTTGCAAGCTGATGTCACCAAGTTTCTTGCAGGCAATGAATCAAAAGGACACATCAGTACAGATCTTTTGGAAAAGCTTTATGACATGGAAGTTCTAAAAAGCCGATGCTTACCAACTCTATTAATAAATAATGAGGAGCGATTAGCAACAGCAATACTTGTAATATGTGGAGCTCAGATTTTGGCCGATGGTTTGAACCTTGCATATAGGATAGTGGAGAGAAGTGAACTGCCTGTAGAAAAGCTGTTGACAATATGTTGTCAGTTACTGATGCAGAAAGATAAATTAAATGAGGTGAGCCTTGTGGTGAGGGGAATACAAGAGTGGGAAGCACTGACACCAGAGGCAGTAGATGCTGCCTTACAGCCAGTTCTTCACACAGTTGCAACTAACAATCAGAATAACTACCTAGATACTCTCGTCAAGCTTCTCTCCAGCGATAAGGCCAAGGTAAGTACTCGCATTTAAACTTTACAGAATGATCAGGGATTTACATAAGTATATGTTCCAGGACAAAATAATGTGAAAGGTCAAATGCAGTGAAGTTAAATTTCCTTAAAATTGAGGTATAAAAACAGTCTTAACAAATACAGGTAGTTAGATTTTTGAATGTTGAGAAGGTTATCTTGAGGTTATCTTGAGATGATTTCGGGGCTTTAGTGTCCCCGCGGCCCGGTCCTCGACCAGGCCTCCACCCCCAGGAAGCAGCCCGTGACAGCTGACTAACTCCCAGGTACCTATTTTACTGCTAGGTAACAGGGGCATAGGGTGAAAGAAACTCTGCCCATTGTTTCTCGCTGGCGCCCGGGATCGAACCCAGGACCACAGGATCACAAGTCCAGCGTGCTGGCCGACCGGCTCCCTTGCTAGAGAAAACTATAGTTTCTGCACAGCTGCCTTGGTTGCTTTCCTTGCCTGTAATTTTGATCACTTCTTGACACTATCACCTCAGGGATTTACGTAAGTATATGTTCCAGGACAAAATAATGTGAAAGATCAAATGCAGTTAGCATCCAATCCATTTAGCATGGATGACCTTTATACCAATGAGGACAACAATTTATTCAAATTCTGTCTTGTGCTTTCATTGGGCAACTCATTTAGGTCAGAGATCAATCACGTAGTTAGTCAAACAGGTCATTTAACAATGAAGAATGTCACCAAAAACACTGGTTCCCTTCAAAAGGTGTTTAGAAATATTGTGCTGCCAAATAACCTAATGAACTAAGTGAAGTATCATGACCTGACTACCCTGGCTCCCACTAGGTAGTGTCCCTACCAACTAGAGGGTTGGGAAGGCTGCATCACTTCTCACATCATGGTCAACTAGGTATTGCTTATGTTCACTTAACAGCATGATTATCTGGTTTACTAAGTTACTTGAGGATTTTTGCAGTTTTCTTTGGACATACCATTAGTTGTGAGTTATAACCTTGTCACCCAGCAAGAGTAGTAAGGGCAAGGGTAACAGGAACTTTATCAACAAGAATGACAATTTATTGGTCAAAATGGGTCCTGACTGGAGAAGGAAGTGGCTGCCAGAGGAGTATGGTGTTGATACTAGTACTGTTTCTGACAAAGAAAGGAGGCAGATCATTAAATTTGTGAGTAAAATGAAGAAAAGGTGGTGGTAAGAGAAGTGACAGAAAAACATCAAAAACTTCCAAGTGTGAGTATTTAGATGCTGCTGCTGCATTACCAATGATACGCTCAGCATTGTAACCTGGGACTGGTTGTTGGTGGTGCATAACTACGGCTTGTAGCTGGAAGAATACTATTATCCATGGACATTGGGACTTCACAGAGTTGAGGTGGCTGCAGATGTTTGATAGCATCACCTAGTACTATAACCACATTTTGCTACCTCTTCTTTGTATTTGGTCTAACAAACTGTTCACTCATTATTTATATGGGCATGATATCATTGTTTTACAGTGTATTATTTGTGTCTGTGCAGAAGTGTATCAACTACAATTAAAAATGTAGAAAATTTGGAGATAAAAAGCTCAATAGAGAGCAGTTATCATCATCGCTTGTGACTTCCCAGCCGCAAATGTGACCTGCCATCTCCTACCCCAGATAGAAATCGCTGAAAGTTGGTGATTGGCGAGTCTTGCAGCGGTTGGCATTTCTTCCTTTCTGTATGTGAAGGTCAGAGCCGGTCGGCCAAGCGGACAGCACGCTGGACTTGTGATCATGTGGTCCTGGGTTCGATCCCAGGCGCCGGCGAGAAACAATGGGCAGAGTTTCTTTCACCCTATGCTCCTGTTACCTAGCAGTAAAATAGGTACCTAGGTGTTAGTCAGCTGTCACGGGCTGCTTCCTGGGGGTGGAGGCCTGGTCGAGGACCAGGCCGCGGGGACACTAAAAAGCCCCGAAATCATCTCAAGATAACCTCAAGATAAGGTTAGAGTGCAGTCATGAGCATAGGCTTGAGCTTCAGGAATGAGATGAAGTACAGTAGATAGTTGAAATTAATATTCCATAGGAGAGGGCCAAGCACACTACCCTGTGGAATGCTTGCAGCAATTGAGCAGCTATTGGATTCTGCTCCATTGAGGAGCAGAATCAAATAGCTGCTCAACTACATTTTTAATTGTAGTTGATACACTTCTGGACAGACACAAATAATACACTGTAAAACAATGATATCATGCCCATATAAATAATGAGTGAACAGTTTGATTCTGCTTCCTTAGTCCTTGAGGGGTGAAAGCTGCCTTGTTTTAGATGTCTCGTATGCTGCTGATGTTATCCTGTTCACTTGAGCTTCTGGTTCTAATGCTGGAATTGTATATACCCACCAGGTCTTTTCTCTTACTGTTTCTTGTAATTGCCTTTTTCTAATGGTGTACTTAAATATAGGTTTCATTATTTTTACACTTGGATTGAATTCCAGTAGCCATTTATCTGCCCACTCCTGAAGTTTATCAGGTCTTCTTACAGTTCACTTAATCTCCTCATTATCCTTGCATCATCTGCAAAGATAATATGCTCACTCCCTTTATATAAATTAAAAAAAAAAAAAAAACAATATTCCTAGGACAGAGCCCTACGGAACACCACTTTTCACTCTGCTCCAGCCTGACGTGTGCTGTGACTGTTACACTTTGTTCCCCCTGTCCAAGTACTTCCATTCGTCTCCTGTCCGTCTCCATCAACAGTGCCTTTCCTGTTACCCCGGCTTGTCTCTCCATCTTGTGGATTAGTCTTTTGTCAAGAACTGTATCAAAAGTTTTTTGGGGCAGCCTAAGAAAGATTCAGTCCTTCTTTCTCTTAATTTATTTTTGAGACCCTGTCATAGAATTCAATCACGTTTGTCAAGCATGATTTTCCCTCTCTGAAACTGTGTTGTGCCTGTTATAAAATGTACTGTTTCCAAATGTTCTGCAGTCCTTTTTTTACTTTTCTAGAATCTTGCATGGAATACATTTTAATGACGATGGTCTTTTGAACAAGACTTGTAGGTTAGTGCTTCAAGTCTGTCCCTATGAATATAGTACTTGAACAACATTTGCCTTTTTCCAGAGTTCCAGTACAGTAGCTCTCCCATCACTAGAGTAATGTTAAGCACTATAGTTAATGGGTAACACAAGATCCCTGCAGCTTCCTTCAGTAACCATGGTGATATCTGGTCTGGTCCTACTGCTTTTGCTACATCCAATTCATTATCTCTTCTACATTAACTTGAATTCTTTATAGTTTTGGTTCTGGTGGAACTAACCAGGTGGCTATCAACAGGGAGCAACCAAAGACCCAACAGAAAGAGATATTTCAGTACATTCAATGCAGATTTTTTTTATTACACATGTTTGCATGTGATCTCCACTATTTATGATTAATATACTGTTCTTTATCAGATGGAAGCTTTCATTGAATGTGGCCGTCTGAAATCAGCCTACCTGGTGGCAGTGCATTGTGGGCGGCATGAAGACGTCAAGCGGGTCCAAGAGATGGCCCGGCGTGGCGGCCAGATGCACATAGTAGCCATGTGCAGTAAATGGCTCTCTAATTCTTACAAAGCTATGTCTACATGCTGATATTTGGGGATTGTTGATGAAGTGTTACTGATAGGTCCTGCAGGGAGTATATGATTCTAATGATGATGATAAGGTCCATGTGACGTGTGTTGTGTACTCAGAATTAATGTGTGCTGTAAGGTAAAATAACATGAGTGCTAAATCTGAAGTCTGAGCATATTTTATACGAAGTGATTCTTAAGTTACCATTATGACCATCTGATTTTAGCACCTTCTTTAACCACTAAACTGCGCAAAATGTCATATGAAGTGTGACATTGAGCTCAGTTTCTTAAATTTTCTGAAACTCTTTCAAATGTTTTGTGCATAATCTACTAAGCAAATGCTCCAACTTTGTCTAAATGATACCGGTGTAACTTGAAAAACAAGAAAATAAAAAATAATTATAAAATTGAATATTAAAAACTTCACATTTTGAAATCGGCTGCAAAAATATAAAATATCACCAATTGTTCATTTGGTGTTGTTATGCTCTCAGAATGACATATGATCTTCATTTTCATATATTTAGAATATAAGTTTCAGTATAGTTTACTGTAAAAAAAAAATTTGTCTATGGCATTTGAAATATGCACAAAATTAGACAACCAAAATATACAACTTTAAACGTTTAGAGTTTATGAAAAATTAATTTTATAGGGATTGTAGAACAGACAGCTGTGCACACTATATGTAAAAATGGTGAGAATCGGTCAGAAACTAGATTTTTGGATACAGAAGTAAGTTGAAATTCTAGTTATAGATATAATTGAAGTTGAAGTTATTGACAATGAATACGGCAGTTCTAATTCATGAATTTACTTGTATATTTTAATAAACATTGTTTGGCATTCATACTGGAATATGTGAAAGTTGTAGGTCAATGTGTGTTGAAATGAAGTCAAGAAAAAATAACCCCCTAAAAAACAAAATACTGTATAGGGATAATTATAATAATTATAATGATTTAGGGAAATATACCTGTATTTAGGGTATACTTTATATAAGTAAAACTAATCTGGTCCCTAATCATCAAAACAACCTAAAGAAACAAGGAAAATAGTGTGAAATCTGTGAAAAAATCAGCCCAAAAAATTCAAAGTCCCAAGTTCTGAGAGTTGTGACTGATTTATTTGTTTACCAATTTAATTCTGTCTTCACATAGTTAAAAATGGATATGAATTCTCCAGGATGTAAAGGTTACAACAAATTCAAATAATAAACAAAGGAGGAAAAACTAAAAACCTAAAAAAAAAATCCCCTAAAAAAAATATGTTTTGGACATTGTTGAAAGTAACTGGTAATAACTTTGGGCAGTGTATTTATATGATATATAACAAAATTGAGCACAATAACCTACTCATTATTATTTGTGTTATTATGTATTACTCAGCAATGATATAAAGGCACCAGCTGCACATCCACTTTATGGACACTTCTTACTACTATTCTTTGTGCGTCGGACAGGTGCTTGCATCTCTTTATTATTGCATTATCCATCAGTTCTAGTTAATAGGAACTGTTCTTATCAACAAAACATTCTTTTTCTGGGGGGAGCCCCCGTCGGCTCCCCGGAGCTTACTAGGCTGATATGCTAATGTCAGACTTTGGCATCAATCAAGTGTATAGATTTCAATTGGCCTACTGGGGACCACGATCCAAAAACTGGCCCCCTCAGAAGAGACAAGGGGAGCAATGGCCTATAGAAACCCCTGTGTGGTTTATAAGTCAATAAGTTGGAGATTTGTTTAAAATTTTTAAGTAATTTTTATATAATTCAAATTTATTTGAATTATGCCTCTTTATCCTGAGCAGTTTAAGAGTTAAATGTTCTTAGTTACCTTTCATGTATATTTTATGTATAATTTTATAACTGCTTCTCTCATCCTCTGTTTACCGAGCAGAAAATTTATGATTTAACATTTTTAGTCTTCACAATATTTTAGCTGCAACTAAGTATTTGTATAGACTGTAAGTATACTTTAGATTGCAAAAAAGATAAGTGAAGTTAAATGAAGGCAGTGCCTTTGCAGAATATTGATTATAGAAGCAATGAATCGGATTGGAGGAATATCATTAGTGAAGTCCTGCAAGGCTTGGTACTAGCACCAGTAATGTTAATTGTTTATTTAAATGATCTTCCAGAAAGAATACAGTGTTGTGTGCAGATGTAAAACTATTGTAAAAAATTGTGCGTAGAGCATCGCATGAAACATGGTATTTAATGTGGATAAATGCTGTGTAAGGGAATGCAGAATCAATAAGATCAGGTCATATTTATACTATATTTTACATGAAAAGATGCTGAAGAACTTGCATAACGAAAGAGCTTTAAGTGTGGTATTGGAGAGTAAACAATCACAGAGCATCACATCGGGGGTATAGTGAGAGAAGCCTACGATGCTCTGGTCAGTTTTAGAATTGCATTTAAATTCATGGATCAAGAAATGCATAAAATAAAATCACTGTGCAAGAGATCTAAATTAGAATATACAGCAGTTGTTTGGTGCCATATCCACAAAATCGCCTCGATAAACTACGAAAGATGCAAAGATATGCCATTAAATGACTTCCATATCTAAAACATAGAGCTATGAGGAGAGACTGAAGATATTAGATGAGTTGTAGTAAATGGACAGAGAAAAGAGGTAATATGATTGCATACAAAATTGTAACAGGAGCTGGCAAACTTGATTTGGAGAATTTATATAATTTGCAAATTTGAGAACAAAGAGGTAACAGATTCAAGTTTATGAAACAAGAGGTGTTAATATTCTTTTGAAAACATTTGCAAACATGTAATAATTTAAAGGAGAGCCAGTTTATTCTAAAACCATCAGAAGTTTCAAAGTGCCATATGATAAAGCTTTTAGGTAAATCGGAACATCACGAGCACAGCTTTCATTTTATACATACATTTCAGTAATTACACGAGCGCACACTCGTATGGTAGTGTACTGTACTTGATGACTAGCAATATCAATGCTGTGAAGCGTTTAATTTTTAATACATACTGTATATAGCAAACAGTAACATTTTAATGTCAAGCCTTTCATTTATATACTTGGGTAATGTACTTTTGAAAGATGAAATCATTACATAGCATTAGTTTATTACAGCTTTGGCACTCTCACACTTCAGAAAATTATTGACACTTACCATCCTGGTGAGTTGTGTACAGGCACTTAGTACAAGTACCATCACTAGTGCCACCACTAGTGGTGGCACATAGTACTAGTGCTACCACTAGTGCTGGTACATAGTACTAGTGTCACCACTAGTGCTGGCACATAGTACTAGTGTCACCACTAGTGCTGGCACATAGTACTAGTGTCACCACTAGCGCTGGCACATAGTACTAGTGCCACCACTAGTGCTGGCACATAGTACTAGTGTCACCACTAGTGCTGGCACATAGTACTAGTGTCACCACTAGCACTGGCACATAGTACTAGTGCTACCACTAGTGCTGGTACATAGTACTAGTGCCACCACTAGTGCTGGCACATAGAACCAGTGCCAACACCAGTGCTGGCAAATTGAAGCTAACTCGGGTTCCCAAATTTTGAAATCTGCCAACTTAGTTATACTTTTTGGTGTTGTTCTCCCTGTATGACTCTACAGAACTAGTTTTATGTTTATTCTTGGAATGCCACGAATTCCCACAAATTCATTTGCACTTACTTGCCAACCATAAGTGTCTGTTACTATTGTGTTTTTAAATATACTGTACCATGATGACAGTGCAGATTTAAAGTACAGTATATAAATTTTAAAAGGATAAAGTTTTGTTTAAAAAGTAAGCAGACAATAAAATACTAAATTGTGTTGAAATGCATCAACTTGTTCAGTCATAGCTGCAGTTATCTTGTTTAGAACATGAACCGGTCATTTTTTGTTTAACATGTCCATAAGCCTCACAATATCAACAAATCTTTTGCATGGATGAATGTAGAAAACAGGTAAACTTTTTGCAAAATTCAAAATGAAGGGATTTAAACTGTTTCACACTGATAGAAAAATTAGATAGGAAAGAGAATGAGGGTGGGGAAAGGAAGGGCAATTTATGTAACAAGACTTAAAATGGGTCAGTTACCAGAACGAAAGTGGAAGTCTTCAAGGAAAAAATGCGACATTTTTCTGTAAGAAGTGCTCGACCAACCGGGCTGTAATGGAGATGCGGTCCTGTGGGCCACTCCATGCAACAGTTTGTGGGACCAAGCTTTCACAAGTAGAGCCTGGCCTCGGGTCAGACTTGAGTAAAACTCCCAGAACCTCTTCCAGGTACAATCCAAGGATTTAAAACACAGCCTTGTATAGAAACAATTTGGCTAAAATTACTGTACATGAAAATAATGATACAGTATGTTTTATATGTAAATCATCAGACTCCCACCTTCATAAGGTGGGGAAGATAAGGTAATAATGAAGTGAGTGCTAAGCCAGTATGACTATATAGAACTTTAATGGGTTATAAGGACAGGGTAATAATTTGGATATGAGGATGGAGAGAGGGAATGGTACACAATCATTTGGATTATCGGGAATTGAATGCCAACCCTATAAGAGAAGTGGCTGTCGCTACTGACCAGTGCAAGTAATTACCTAAGTGTAGTTACAAATGAGAGCTATGCTCGTGATGTCCCGTCTACCCAGCACTCTTTGTCATATAACGCTTTGAAACTACTGATGGTTTTGGCCTCCTCCACCTTCTCACTTAACTTGTTCCAACCGTCTACCACTGTTTACGAAAGTGAATTTTCTTATATTTCTTCTGCACCTTTGTTTAATTAGTTTAAATCTATGACCTCTTGTTCTTGAAGTTCCAGGTCTCTGGAAATCTTCCCTGTCGATTTTATCAATTCCGGTTACTATTTTGTACGTAATAATCATATCACCTCTTTTTCTTCTGTCTTCTAGTTTTGGCATATTTAATGCCTCTAACCTCTCCTCGTAGCGCTTGTCCTTCAGTTCTGGAAGCCACTTAGTAGCATGTCTTTGCACCTTTTCCAGTTTGTTGATGTGCTTCTTAAGATATGGGCACCACACAACCGCTGCATATTCGAGCTTTGGCCTAACAAAAGTCGTGAACAATTTCTTTAGTATTTTGCCATCCATGTATTTAAAAGCTGTATATTGGTGGATGGCTATAAGGTACAGAAACATTTAACAGTAAAAGATGGAAATGCATATTATGTGAAAGAAAATTCATGGTGTCCATTTAGTCTCACCGATAATGTAAAGTCTGGAAATAAATGTGTATAAAATTTAAGCCAAGAAATAGCTGCTCATAAAGACAATTGGTAATATAGGATCTTGGGTAATTTATAATTGTAATTGTTAATTTATTTTGGGGCCTATGATGTAATAAATACTGTACTACAGTGGCATGTGAACCTGGCCTATT